TGACATCCTCACAGCCACAGGGGGCCATAAACCCATGTCACCTTCGGTGGGCCAGCAAGGGAGAGCTCTGAGGTGACCAGCGGCCAGTGTGTGGGCAGGTGTGAAGGCTGGAGGTGGGATCTGGCTGCCCCTCCCAGGTGTGGCTGGAGCCCCCTGGGGTCAAGGACTGGACGTAAGTGATGCATTATTTTTTGTGCCACTGTGTCGTTCGCACGGCTTTCTGAGGTCGGGTGTGGAATTCTGCTCTCCTGCTGTCGTGGGGGCTGGCGGGGAGGCTCAGGGGTAGAGCACAAAGTCCTGGATCCCCTCCCAGCACCAAGAAAGAAAGGTCCAGTTCTGGAGCGTTTTGGGTTTTCAGGTCAGGGCCTCGTGTTGGAYGTGTGTTTCGTACTGCGTGTGCCCTGTGCCTGACACAGAAGGGGAGCCGGACACCCCCGGCCTCCAGGACCCTGTGCGGCRTGTGTGCAGACAGGACAGCAGGAGTGGAGGTCACGGAGAGGCGGGGTGAAGCGGGGTGCACAGACCCCGGTGAAGAGTCAGGTCGTCGGAGGCCCGAGGGCRCTCAAGGAATTGCATGGGTGGAGGGTTGATTCAGTGGCACTGAATTAACGGGATGGTCATGGCATTAACTGCGAGGAGCAGGACAGGTCAGGTACAGGACACTGCACGGGCTGGGGAGGTGGGACAGGTGCATTTGGAGGTGGCATGGGAGGTCTCTTGCTTAAGGAGACACAGTTCTGCCCAGATGGGATCTGTGGGTTGCTAGGTGACCCCAAAGCTGCGTTCCTTCCCGAGTCTGCRAAGCTTCGCAGTCCTAGACCCCCGGGGCGGGGTGGGCCCTCTCCTGTCCAGACCAGTGGAGACCACCTCATTCTTGCCACAGCCATGTGGTGTGGCCGTTTCTTCAATCCTAATATTTCAAGGTTATCAAAGGAAGCATCCGTCGAGTTAAAGGCTTCCAATTATTATTTTCAGTACACATGCACGTATATAACAGTTAAAGAAAAGCGGCTTCACCCTGTGGGTTGCTAAAACCCCCAGCGGGATCTCAGGGGGGACTGTCCTGCTAGAGCCCCTGTTGGCTGCACTCGCCTGCTCTTCACTTGAACTTGACCCCGTAAGCAGGGGACTCTCCTCATTGGGTTCTGTGTGCTCGGTGGCTCTGCCGTCCCTCAGGATGAGGTCTCCTTGTCAGTTCCCGAGAAGTTCCTGACTCATAGTTGATAGGAATKAGAGAAGCTCTGGTCCTCCATCTGCACAGGGAATTCGTTATCCGGATCTTTTTAGCTACCACAGATCTGCAAGGAGGTACGACCTACACAAATAATTATTTAAAAGTCCATAGTAAAGATCTTACTGGTCATGTTTCCTTAAAATGCCTTTTGTGTTCATCTTGTTTCTTTGTGTCCCGGGGTAATGATGGTGATAGTGGCAGCCACGCCCCCRGTTGAAGGACTGTTCTGTGCCACGGCTGGGCCAGTCTGCCAGTCCTCACTGTAGAATGGACCTARTTGAACATTTTTAAAACCTAATTCTCAGGATGATTCCTCCCGTTAATTGAGCGCTTGCTAAGCACGAGTGGATGGGCCCATCTAGCCCTCACCCTGCCCCCGCTTCTCGGGAGACGAGGCTTTCCATGTGGCATTGGGGGCCAGGTAGTTCTTGGCTGTGGGGTGTCACAGGACATTTAGCGGTGTCCTGGGTCTCTCCCTACTAGATGCCAGCAGCAGCCCTGCTCCCCTGGTGCTGGCCACCAAAATTGCCCCTGCACATTGCCAGTCCTGTCCTGGGGGGGTGATGGGGGTAGGGGGTGCCTTTGCTTCTGGCTGAGAGTCACGGGTTCCATGATGAAGCCTTCGAGGTCAGTGAGGACATAGAGAACAAGTGCCCAAAGCAAGCAAGGGTCAAGCACTTGGTAGGTTCCAGGTGAGGCTCRGGCGACGGGCAGTTGCTGGACACACTCCCCACAGTGGCCCCAGGAGGTGTAGCTCTCCTCCTCCCCTCGGATCAAGCTCTGAGCGTCCCCCTCTGCTGCTGCCAGGTTGGGGGCTGCGGGACTGCCTGCCCGAGGCCACACAGCAGGTCAGCAACTGGGCTGGGATTGGAACCGCAGTGTCTGCCTCCCGACCCCTGCTTACTCCAGGCCCCCCCAGTCTTTCCCACCAAATGACATGAAGAGAAAGCCGACAGGTGCCGGGCCGAGCTTGGCTGATGGACACTGAGCCTCGGAGCTGTGTGCAGAGTGAGCCGTGGGGTCCCTTTTCTGCACCTCTGTGTTGGGAAAGCGAGGGGGCGGAGGCCCGCCCCTGCCCCAGTGGACCCACGCTCTTGAAGTCCCTGGGGAGTCWCTTTCCTGCTCCCTTTGCCATCGGTGGCTGTCTGTCAAGACCAGGTGGCCTCAGAGTCGAGGTTTCTTGCCTGTCTGAGGAGGACTGACCATTTGTCGTGGGTCACGACTGTAGACCCAGCTGGTCTAGAGGGGCCCAGCAGGCCCGACGGTACAGTCCCAATGCAGTGGCCAGGGCCAGCTGGCAGGGTCTGGGGGGGCCCTGCTTGGCTCCTGGTTTTATTAAACTRAGCATTTGGTTTCTTCCTCCTCCTCTCCCCCAGCGAAGGGAGGCGCAGGGCCAGCAGGTGGGTGGTAGGTGGTTTGAGGTTCAGAGCCGCSGGCAGGACCACCTTCGTCCCCCTGTGGAAGTTCCAAACACAGAAGGAGGGGCGAGTCACCCACGGCTCCCTCCCTCCGTCTGGTCCTGAGCCGGGCTGTCTGCAGCCTGGGAACCTCTGGACCAGTGGCTGCAGATCTCCCCGGGGCTGCCTTGCTCCCCGGCAGGTGTGGGCTGTGGGAGCGGCCCCTGTCCCCCCGCCCCCTGCCTGTGGAGGCCATGCCGCCTGTGGAGGCCATGCCGCCTGTGGAGGCCATGCCGTTTTCCAGCCTGGCTCCTGATCTCCACATCGGGACCTCGTGGGGGCTGCCGCAGTTCACTGATGTTTATTTTGAGATTTGCACCCGTGGATGGGCCAAACCAATTTTGTGGGCAGCTTAGCCGATTTGTCTTAGAGCTTTGTGTTTCATAGAGGACTGGGGAGGCCGCCTTCCTGGTGGCTTTAATGGTTTAGCGTCGGGTGACGCTGGAAATCAGCCACCAGCCAGCCCCGCCCTCTCCTTCCACACGCCCCTTGTCTGGCCAGAATGGAACACGCGCCCACCTGTCCCCCCCCCGCCCCACCTGTGCCTGCGGGCGCTCCTGTCGGTCTGTGAGTTCCTCTTCTAACAGTGCCATCCCTTTTCAGCCTCGCCACCCTCCATGAAGACGGGACAGGCAGGGAGTCTGTCCGGCAGCCCGAAGCCTTTCTCCCCGCAAGCGTCTGCGCCCATCATGACGAAAACGGACAAGACGTCCACCACCGGAAGCATCCTGAACCTTAACCTGGGTCAGTTGGCGCCTCTGGCAGAGTCTTTCTGTGACAACTGTGACTTGGCAATTGTAATGTCCTTTTCTATGTGTGGTTCTTGAACCTTTGAAGTCTTTTCTCTGTGCAGATAATTAAAAAGGTGCAGTGGGTGAAGGTGAGGTGAGTCATGCCCCCAGCCCTCCTTAACTTTGTTTTGTTTTTGGCATGGCCTCACCGAGTTACTGAGGCTGGCCTTGAACTTGCAGTCCTCGGGCCTCAGCCTCCTGAGTCACTGGAATAACAGGCATGCGACACCACACCCATTTGCCGCTGTTCTTGTCTTGAAGGGCCTCAGGGCAGTGTTCAGAAGCTTGTTTCTCCTGGAGCCTATGAGCCAGATCACTGATGAGTGAATACATACATGTGGCCGAAAGAGGTTCCATGAACCAGTGTTAACTTTCCTGCGCCCAGTGCACTCTGATACACTGTTCCCTTTAACTTTCTGATATCGATTTTCATCCCTTGAATCGTTATTTTTTAATCCATCGGGTTTTAGTTGGTTATTTAAAAAATACCGTGTTAGGAGAAAAAAAAACCTACGAGGCCAAAGTTTTACACGTTTGCACTAGTAATGCCAAACTGCCAAGTACGAGGTCATTTTGAGCCATTCTGTCATGACTCCTGATTTCGTTGAGCCCTAGTATTGGGAGTATCGTAGGCTGGGAGAGGTCGGCCCGTCAGCGAGGGACCCGGCTCTATCAAAGCTTCAGGTCCAGGGAGGGTACTCAAGGTGGACGGGCAAGAGGGTTCACGCCACCTAGGAGGAAGAGCCAGGCGTGCCGATCACCGGAGGAAAGGAGAGGGGAAAGAGGAGGTTCTAGAGGTGGTGGGTGAGGCCCCACTTGCTGTGCTGCAGGAGAGGCCAGGAGGCCGGGGTGGCTGCATCCCGTGGGCAGGGGCAGGAGGGAGTCCATGGAGGGCTTGCAGACCCTGAGGCAGAGGGGCCTGTGCCCACCTGAGGTGTCTGTCAGAGGACAACTCTCTGTTGATCAGTCATTTGTCTGGTCAGTTGKGTCTCCACCCCATGTGGGGCCATGTCTGGGACATTTGCTTGTCCCCAGTGCCGCTGAGTCTCCTGCGGTGCCCAGGACCCTCCTGGCGTGGAACTCCTGGACCACGCGGTCACGGGGCCGACTCCCTGGCCAGCGGCAATGGGCCAAGAGCTCCCCTTGGAGTCTAAGATGCTTGTCGGCCCCCCAGGTGGGGAGGGCAGAGGGCACTTGGCGGCAGGCGCTCTGAGGCCAGCTCTGCGGGAGGGGAGTGCCGGCCATCTAGGCGGACAGGCAGGGCTGGGGGCCTGCAGTGCCGCTGGAGCTGGGAGACGCCAGGTCTGGACAGCACCCTGGGTGCCCAGCAGCCCAGGTGGAGCCCAGCTGTGTGTCCTTGGAGCCTGGGTCTCCTGAGTGCTGGGTTGCCTGTCCCCGAAGGTGGAACAGGGTACTCAGGGTGGAGCTGGGGGTTCGGATTCAGAGTGAACAAAAGGGAACCCACTTGCTGCCTTGGGAACATGGACTGTTTCCTACAGTCCCCAGAACGGTGGCCTCCTTTCCCTCGCCTCCTCCCTCCTGCACACCCGAGCAGCCGGGCTGGGCGAGGCCTGCTCCCTGCGTTCCTCCCTGCCAGTCCTGTGCGGCCAGGGGGGTGACCGGCGGGCATCCTGGTGACACTGTGGGTCTCAGTGTGGCTTGATGCATGTGGGAGTGCAGGACCCTTCCTGGGGTGTGTCTGGTGGGTGGGGCGCGGCCGGTTGTGGGCAGTGGTGGTGCTGGCTGCGGCTCCTGCTGCCTCTCTGGAGGCCCCACACAGTGGGCAGTTTTGCTGCCTCTCCAGTAGGGATGAAGGCCTGTGAGCCGGGCGGTGCCTGGGTGGCATCTCAGGTCCCTCATGGGGGAGGATTGCTGGGTCCTGAAGTCCAGCAAGGGCAGCCTGCCTGGGGCTGAGCATGAGCTTCGTGGGCTTAGTCATGTCTGTCCCTGTGACGGCCTTCGGCAGACAGGRGGGATACAGGGCGCCAGAGACAGACGGACGGCAACAGTCTCACAAAACAGAATTCCATTTAAAAAGTCAAAAGCAAAAACAGACAGACAGACAGAACACTGGAAAAGACAAAATCATAGTGATGGAAGCAGCCTGGGGTTGAGGTGGAGGAGGGTTGGACTGCAGACCAGGAGGGGGCACTTGGGGACAAGGTCTTGCCCCGGGGGGTTTGTSCCTCTGTTCGGACAGACCTGGATTTCCTCCAAAATGAACTTTGCTCTCTGTGGATTAAAGTGACTTTTTAAAATAAACAAGCAGCACAGCCTTTTAGGTAGGTAAGACAGCCCCATTTTGTGGAAGGGCAAGGGGGGCACAGAGAAGCAAAGTCACCTRTGCACAGTCACACAGGATTGGGTGGGGCTAGGCCTGTCTGGAAAGCTGGAGCCTAGAACCCGAGCTGCAGTGCTGTGAGCCAGGGCTGTGCTAGGCTCGAGGGCCTCTCCCTGGAGTCTACTGTGCCTCTTGGGTAGGTCAGCCCAGGGGTCAGGGCTAGGTGAGGGTTCCTCTGGGCAGTGATAATGTGGGGGACAAAGGAGGAAGCTCCTGCCCGTGGCGGCTGTGTTTGGAATTAAAGACCAGGATTYCCCGTATGAGCATGTACCCTCCTAGATTTAAAGTCTTGGCTGTTGGGGCTCGCACAGTGGTGCACACCCGTAATCCCAGTGCCTGGGGAGGCCGAGGCAGGAGGATCCCAAGTTTGAGAGCAGCCTCAGCAACTTAGCAAGGCCCTAAGCATCTTAATGAGACCATGGCTCAAAATTTGTAAAAAGGCTTTGGAGATACAGCTCAGTGGTAGTGTGTCCCCAGGTCCCCTCCCCATTCCCCCCAGTGCCCCAAATTAACATAAAAACTGGCTCATCTGCATTAAAAGCAAATTATAAAACTCTACTTGGAGAGCCAAATACAGCAACCCAAAATACAAAACCCGGCCCCTGGGCTGGCAGCTGGTTTCGAGGCCGGGCTCAGTGAGTCACGGTTCCTGCGCTGGTGAGGGTGGGAGCGGCGCCCGCCCGCCGGCTGGCTGCCCTCACTTGCTGTCTCGGCCTCTGCTCTCCTCCTTCAGACAGAAGCCGAGTCCCGCTGGCTTGTTTCAGGCCCCCTTCTGTGACTTAATGGCAGCGATAAATCACACCCGAAACCTGAAATCTGCYGAGAACACGGTGCTGGATTCTTGTCTCCTTCTAGAGCCCCTGGTCAGAGGTGAAGGGCCAGCAGGCCAGTGCTCCTGTGCTGGCCACAGTGTGCCCAGGTGCTCTGTTGAAGGTGCTGAGGGAGCAGTGGAGAGCTGTCTGGCCTGGAGCATTGCTGCTGTCCTTCTGCTGTCACTGACAGGGGCCACCTTTGTCCCTGTGCAGGGCAGTCCCTTGGAAGCCAGCCATTCCTTAAGAGCACCGTGTGAGCCGGGCCTGGGCTGCCCAGATGTTTTCCCACCTCCTTACCGCGAATGGGCTGGGAAGCCCCCTGCTGGGCTTTGGTTGAGAGGGGCTTCCGAACTGTCTCCTTGAAGGAGCCGCCATGTTGTAGCTCCTGGAAGYCCACTCGTCATAGTTTGCCAACAGCGTTAAAACAAAGGAGATCTGTTTGTTTTTAAACTATTTATCCAGGCACCTTATTTATTGGCTCCGGGTTGTGGTCTATTTCTTGGTTATTGAAAACAGCTACAGGGAATGCTGATTCTGGCCACGGGGGACAGTGTCCGTGGGGTAAACTCCTAGAGGTGGAGTGGAGGTCGATTGCCAAGTTGACCTCTAAAGGGGATGTTCTCATTTGTGCTCCCTGCAGGAGTGTCAGGTCGGGCGGCTTTCTCTAGCATGGGTATTTTTTTTTTTTTTAAATCCCTGGCTTCCATTTATAGGCTGAGCTGTCTTCAGATCAACTGAGAAATTCAAAATCCTGGCAGCACAGTGAATTCTGAAGATGGTCCCGATATAGAAGGGCAGGGGTGGGAGAAGGCCTGATAAGCCACCACAAGCCACAGGAACAGGRACGTGTTCCTTCTCCCTGTGGAGGAGAGAGAGCCCCAAAGGCTGCTGATTGCAAAACGCTCACGCCCCGAAGGTCCCAGGGCCTGAGCCACCCCCACACTTTATTTTATTTCTTCCYTTTTTTTTGGAACTGGGGATTGACCCCAGGAGCACTCAACCTCTGAGCCACATCCCCAGCTCTTTTTATATTTTATTGAGAGACAGGGCCTCACTGAGTTGCTGAGGCTGACTTTGAACTCTCGCGCCTCCTGCCTCAGCCTCATGAGTCACTGGAATTACAGGTGTGTGCCATCGTGCCTGGCTGGTGGTTTTTTTTTTTTTTTTATCTTTATTGTATTTTATGTTTTAAATTTTTTCTGTGTGGTGCTGAGGCTTGAACCCAGGGCCTCACAGGTGCTGGGCAAGTGCTCTGGCCCAGAGCTTCAGTGGCAGCCCCTGGTGGCTTAAAGAACGGTCTTAGTAGCGGTTGATGGAGGCGAGGACCCTTATTTTGTCAAAGAGGGRGCTTTCCCTTCGTTGTGTTCTTCCTGTGAATGTGCAACAGGTGAGTGTTCCTAGAGTCAACTTGAAGGGCCGCGTCCATCACGGGCGGGCACGCTCACACACGTGCACACACAGGTCGCACGCTCAGGTGAGGGCTGTCTCTTGATGAGCCCCACGTACCGGGGTGGAGGCCGGGCGGGATTTCTTTACTCACAGAAGTGGTCTTACACCAGGGTCTCACCTGGGKGGGGGTTTCCCCAGCTCTCCCAGACTGTCAGTCAGGGTTTCTGAGGGACTGACGGATGCTGTATGTCAGGACGTGCATATTTTTTATTTTTGGGTTTGTTTCTTCGTATTTGTTCTTAACCCCGTTAACATTAAGGCGCCTRGGGCAGAGGCACGGGGTGTTTGCGCTCCACGTGAGCCTCAGTTCACCGCGGGGTCGGTGCGCTGTGCTGCTGTTTCACTATCAATGCTCTTTGTGAGCTGCAGATCCAGGCAGGTGCAGGTGAGTTTCCAGTTCTTCCCTCCCAGGCCTCCTCCCTCCCTCCTCCCTCGAGGGCCTCTCTGCGCAGCCTCCCAGGGCCCCGTGAMCACACAGTGCAACCTGGACTTTTGAGGGCGCTGTTCTGGAACCACAGCGGTAGTGTCTTTGCTAGCTGTGAGCACTTCCTTCCAGAATCTTGCAGGTTTGAGGAAAGAGCCCTGCTCTAGGGTGGGGGCTTTGGGGACCTCGCTCCTTCTGGTCACTAAAGGAACTGGTTTCTCCACGTGCAGTGCCGGAGGATGCCCTCGCTGGTTGAAGGAGAAGGGCTGTGGCTCACGGCAGAACAGGAGGAGGAAAGCCAGCGAAAGCTTTGCCAGCGCTGGGGTGCTCTCCGGGGCTTCTTTAACAGGCCAGGGAATAGTTGCCTTGAGTGCGGGGTCAGCAGGGGACTGAAGGAAAGTCCAGGAGATGAGCCCACAGTGGCCAGGAACAGGCTCAGAGGTGGCTTCTCCTCTCTGGTGGGCGATCAGATGTCACCTGCTTTCTGACCTGTGTTCTGGGGTTGGCTGGGTGGGGTTGGAGGGGACCCCACAGGATAAGGTCAAGGGAAAGACAGCTCCCCTCCCCCGTGATCTCTCACTGCTTTATGGACCTTTGTGGCCACCGTAGTTCTCTTCCTCCTCCCTGGCTCTGGGATGGGAGAGCAAGTTCATCAACATGGGCTCATCGGCCCGTCGGGTCATACAGGGAGCCCTTGGTGGAGTGACGGAGGGGACTTGGGTTAGGRGATGTCATCGCAGAGGGCTTTGCCTGGGAGTCATGATGAGGAACTTGGGCTCTTACCTGAGAGACCTGTTGGTCCCGGGTGAGTGTSCAGGAGGCATCTACTTACCTGGCCTCCGAGGAGGCTGTCGGTGAAGRGAGCCACAGCCGGAAGACCTCCTCTCCCCGGTTTTCCTTTTCTAGTTTGACCCCCCGATTGGGTAGACCAGGAAGGACCCAGGAAGCCTCTG